ACTTAAACTATGCTATGGAGCTTGTTTTGTACTTTTGACTGCCTCAGTGGTAAAGTCAGGGCGTAAGCGCCCCAGAAACGGATTCCCGCTTTGTTGTAGTGGCGGGCCTTAGTAGACGTTGCTTGTACACCCATGATGTACTAAGAGAAACCCATATGGCTGGCTCGATGTGAAGGGCCGGCGTGGCGGCTATGGCAAATATCGCTCCTCTGGGGCAATATATGGAGGCAATTGACTTTTGATAAGTCTGTAAGGGTAAAAAACGGGCACATATTCCACCGAACCTAAGTAGATTCTGTGGCTCATAGATACCTTATAGGAACATCGATAATGTTCTATTTCATTTTAAAATAACAGTCAGATTTTGATTGAAAAAATTGGACCCTTTTGTTAAAAAAATTCTAACACCTACTAAGCTCAGGGGATTGTTTGCATGCCATTAAGACATCATGAACGTATTCTTTCTGTCCGAACTAATCTTTGAAATTCCTGAATCGATTGTAATATAACTTCACTAAAAATAGGGAACAATGTTAGGAGTGACCTAGGCTAGGATATTTTATCCAAAAACCTTAGAGGTGAAAAAATGGGCTCTGATTATCTTAAATCGAAATAACTTCACATTTTGCACCCAGGCAAAGCCAGAGCAGGTCGCTAGTAAATGAATAAGTGTTACAGGGATTTACATAGATTAGTTTTAAGTTCCTGAAATAAAGATTGATGAAGACCGTGGGATGACTTCAAATAAAAAAGATACACCAACGGCGTTCCTTTTTCCTTATTTACCTACATTTACAATAATAAAACAATTATTTCACAAGTTTATAAACTTTTTATGTATAAATTGTTATATAAATGGGTGTAAAGGCGAATACTCGATCTTTTCACACCCCCAACTCCCACACCCCCCCCCCCGCGCCCCCCAAACCCCCCCTTTCTCCTCACCACCTTTCACTCCTTTCACATCCCACCCCCTCCCCCCCCCCCCACCCCCCACACCCACCACCCCCCCCCAACACAAAACAATTCAACATTCCAACCTTCCCCTACAAACCCACCCCCCCCACTCCCCCAACACCCCCACCCAACACCCCCCCCAAACCCCATCCGCCCCCCACAACTTTTTTTCCCCTTCTGATGTCAACTTTTTTTTATAGGATAGGGTGACAAGCGAGCACACAGTCCACCAGATGGTAAGTGGTTGCTGTGGCCCATAGACATCTACATCTATCCTCGATTACGAATCAAAATGCAGATGTGTTGTCATCCGTGAGGACTTAGGTGGAATGCCTCGTTTCCAGTAAAAACGGTCTCCGGTTCTCCACACTCACCATACGAAACACAGCAGCATTATGCTACTATTTGACGCTGGTATTCTTTGAGAGCGTGATCCTTCCCCGGTCGAGCCGACCCATTCGTGCTACAACTATACTACTAATATAACTGCAGCATGGCTCTACCACGTCAAATGCAAGACATGCAGGCGATGTTTCCTACCATCTAACATAAGTAGACCTGGAAATCACCTGAGGGCGAGAAATAAATCCAAAATTCATTTTCATCATCATCGCCAATAAAGTCTATCACAAGTCTACACTACTGAACATAAGCCTCCCCTATAGGTTCCAAGTTTCTTTATTAATATTTGGTTGTTATCAGTATGCCTGTTATCTGGATAATATTCGGAAGCCAAACTGCCTGTACAAGTCTGGCAACTACGGCAAGATAGAAAGGGATTGCTCCTATGGGCAATCTATTTGGAGTCAAAGTTCGGCAGTGGACTTTGGGCTGACTCCTGTTTCAGTTTATCTCTTTTTGTTTATCTTTTTTACGATACTCATATCATCCATGTGGATAATAGTTTATTTTAAGCAACGATTACAAGGCATGAAACAATAATTTAAAAATATAAAATATTACTATTTGAATATTTAATATAGCCAGCATTTAATAATGTCATACTTTGTTAATCTTTTATGGGTGAAATTTCTGTATTTTCCATGACCGTGATACATATTAAATGAAACGGAAAACTTGAACTGACAGCAAATCTCAATCGTGTTTTCTCAATAAAATTGTAATTATACAATAAGCCGTCCAAGGAACGTCTTAATAGATTAGTTTCAAAAAATGCGGCTGAAATATGTCGATAATACGTTTGTAACGGATTTCAGGAAAATTATTGCTAAATTATATTACATTTTAAGGCACAGATTAAAAAATGCTTTCACTTCTATTTTACCAGGCTTATTAATGCATTGCTAGAATAAATTAAATAATTTATAATATATAACTTATACGTGGTAGAGCCATGCTGCAGTTATATTAGAAGTATAGTTGTAGCACAAATAGGTCGGCTCGACCGGGGAAGGACTACGCTCTCACAGAATACCAGCGTAAAATAGTAGCTTAATGCTGCTGTGTTTCATATGGTGAGTGTAGAGAACCGAAGACCCTTTTTACTGGAAACGAGGTATTCCATCTTGTCCTCACGGGTGATAACACATCTGCATTTCGATTCGTAATCGAGGATGGATGTAGATTTCTATCGGCCCCAGCAACCATTTGCCATCAGGTGGACTGGGTGCTCGTTTGTCACCCTATCCTATAAAAAATTTAAATATACAGCAAATTACCACGTAAAACCTTGATGGTTTTTTTACGCTTGACAGGCGTATCGCAGGTCGAATCAAGTTATTTTCTTTCACCTCTGAGCACATGGTCAATCACCACGCAAGATTTAAATCTATTTGCGTACTACGTTATTTAGGCGAACTTTTGTTCCATAAGCTTCCGCGTAGTCTAAGTAATTATTTTATAATTAAACTGAAAGTTTTATGTTCCATGCATGTACTACAAAAATATTTCTTAAGTTTAGCGGACTTAAAACCCGAAACATCCTCTACCAGTTAACCTTTGGGTGATGCAGAGATAAAAATATGAAATAGGCGTGTGAGTTGATGAATGATAGAAATATAAATTAATAAATTAAAGTAAATAAATGTAAAACAAAATAATATATATACTCATACATAAAGTTACATATCGAAAATTATTTGGTATATGCATAATATTTACATAAATTTTGTACATATAAAAATAAATAAATTATATAATACATATTTATATAAACAGAATCAAGTAAGAAAGTATAGTACAAATATTTTATTATATTATCAGCCCTTATAAATTCGTAAAAGACTAAGCAGTCAGATTAATTTCCGTATAAAAGAGAGATAAACAGTAAAACAGCAGTGTTTCTTGTAAGCTTGCTGAGCTTCTGTTAATGAAGACAATTTAATCCAACAACGGCAAAGCCAAAAGGGCCAAGATTTATTTGCCTATGTATGTATGTATGTTCATCATACATACGTACAAACTCCCCTATCCACTACCTTAGTCAAAATTACAATTTAAAAAATTTCAAAGTATTTAAAGAGTCGCAATTTTTTTTATTGCCAAGCATAATAGTACTTGCATAAATAAATATTTTTGAAAAAAAAAGAAATATATACATTCAATTGTTGATAAAAACCTTCATAACGTGCGTGTGACGACACGGAAGATCAAACGTGGATCATTACCAGTAACGTTCATGACTGAATTATATCAACTAATCAAGATTTATAGTTTTAGAATGTCCCATTGAAGTCTTTATTCATAAATTAAATGAAGGTTTTAGTCAGTCTAGATGTTTGGAGAAAATATATACTAATTTACTAATCAGTCTCAAAACTCAAAATTATGGTATCTTTATTATATCTGACGGTAAAGAAGCTACTGCAAGCCCATGAACAACTGTTACTAATTGATTGTGAAAAATAATTCATATTTTTGCACAAATATTTGCAAAATTCGTAGTTGTTAAGAGCTGAAGCAGCAATTAGAAATTTAATATAAATCAATATATAACATCCTTCAGACAGAATTTTGGTCACGATGCCCAGTTTAATTTCAACAGAGTCTAGCCGTCTGCGCAGGACAGGGTTATAGTACTCAAGTGTGTGCGCAAGCACACATGCACCCTCTGTTTCCTAACTCACATGACAATACGACACGACCTGTCAATGACAGAGATCAGGCACAATTTTGTTGACAGGAAAACTCTAACTAAAACTCGACGTAGATAGTTCAGATTAAAATGCTTAACTTTATATTATTTTATTTTTAATGAGTTTGTAAGTAAAACTTATGGGTCATCACTTAACCGATACCAGTTTTGCCTTTTAAAAGGCCTTTCTAAGTTCGTAACACATTTGTCTTTAAGAAATTGCATAACCAAAATGTAAAAGTATATTGAAATCATAAAATAAAGTTAGTTACTACATATCTCACAAGTCTTAACAGAATAAATTTTGATAAAAGGGGCAGGAATAAACTGATAAAAATAATAAACTTAAAAAATTGAGTGGGTTTTAAGATCGGAAACCAATAAGTTCTTATGTAGTGCACGTCTTATTCAATGTGATTTTATAGTATATAAAATGAACACATTTATTGAAACACTGATTTTATTTATAGTTGCCGCAAAAAAAGTTGATTCGAAGATCTCATTAGATATAAATGTTGGAATAAACGATAACGATTTACAATAACGCATTCTGGTTTCGGAGTCGACGTTATTGGTCATCGGGAAATTGAATTATTTAATATTGGAAACGCTAACATAAGGAAGGCTGTAAAGAGACACTACCATTGGTCTCCCAGCGATGTTTACTTAAAAAGTCTGACACCCTGGGGAGATTTGTTCCGAAAATATAACTGGGAACAGGTATCGCGAGTTTTGACTGTCAAATCAGCAAGATTAAAAAAAAATAACGAAGAAACCTGTAATAGTGTTGTCTCACGACTTCGATAACGTTTCAAATAAGACGAATAAAGTAAACACAGGGATAAGTCAAACAGTGGAAAATACGATTTCGACAAGTTGGACCAAAAGCAAAGAGACGACGGTTTCTCAGGAAATTGAATATGATATGAACGTGATGTTTGCGAAGATGATGGGCACGACTGGTTTCTCATATACAACTAGTTGGGGCGAAAGTGAACAGCGATCTGAAACTATTGCTATTGGAACCACAAGTGGTGTTGAAACGGAACTGCAGCCTGGGCAGGCGGCGACCGCGGTACTGTCAGCAAATAAGGGTGCTTTAGAGGTAGAAGTCGTGTACTTGGAAAAATTAAGAGGGAACGTAGCTGCGAACTTTAAAATCCCTTATAAGAGAAGAAATGAAGGTCACCATTTCTTGGGTCCATCGATAGATAGTGTGATGAAGAGTGGTGGATTAGAAAATGAAGTGATTATAAAAGAAAGTGAGGTTTCTACACGGATGCATCTTTCTTTTTTTTCTTTTTCATTTCAAGGTATATGATAAAATATCTGGACTGCCATTGTAACAGCATTGACTACGGTGTTTGGAAATCGTTGTTATGGTTTCAACATTTCAAAGACTTTTTAATATATTATCTCCGTTAAAAAGACGTTCTGAGGTCCATAGAGTTCACTTCAACTATTTCTAAAAACATCTCTCTGTGAGTGTCTGTGCTTGTTTGCGCATAATTGTTGGGCATAAAAGTTAGTGAATTCAATAATTAAAGAAGTAATTAAATAAAAAAAATTAATAAGAAATAGAACATTCACGGGAAGTTGATGGTGTAGCCTGACCGAATCGAACCGACGCCCATATTTATTCAAGATGTTAACGGCTTTTCGGTATAATTTTCTACTAGCAAGCAAATTTTTTATGGAATAAAGGTGACAAACGGCGGCTACGAAGACCAGCCATCGGCGCAGGACAGGATTATAGTGCCCAGGTGTATGCGCAAGCACAGGTGCACTCTCTATTCCCTCACTCTCATAATCCGATGGGATGGTAAACCGACATGACTGGAGAGAGATCAAGCGCAGGACCAACGGCTTTACGTGCTTTCCGAGGCACGTGGATGAGACACCGCCAACTTACTAACTCCGGGCAGATACTGAGAATTTCTTGATGGAAAAACTCAATAACTGATAGTTTTTGCCCGACCCGGGATTCAAACCCGGAACCTCGTGATCAGCAGTCACACTACTACAACCACTAGATCAACGAGGCAGTCAGTGACAGAAATAGGTACTAGGCTCAACCTACGCAGATGGCCTCCTATGCCGAAATAGAGTCATACCATCTATGAAAGTGTATAGGGCTTATTAAGAGTTATGTCTTAATTGATGTGACGCTTTATACGTCATCAATATTATTACAGCCCTTCACAAGTCCACTGCTGAACATAGGCCTCCCCCAAGGAATGACACAAAGCACGGTTCTAAGCCACCTGCATCCATTGATTTCCTGCATGTCTTACCAGGTCGACACTCAATCTAGTGTGGGCACGTCCTACACTGCGCCTACTGGTACGAAGCTGCCACTCCCGAACATTATTTCCACATCGGTTGTCGGTTCTTCGAGCTATATGGCCGGCCCATTGCCACTTTAGCTTACTAATCCATTGGTCTGGATCAGAGACTCCGCGAGCATAGCTCTCTCCATAACACGCTGAGTGACTTTAAGCGTTCTCATACGGCCAGCAGCATTGTACGTATTACATACATAAACTTTGGTACGCCCTCCCCAATGATATTAAGAATGCTACAAATAAAAATCTCGTCGAAGTTCTTCTACGACAACATTACCTGAGGGCAACTACTAATTGATATTATTTTCCTTTATTCTTTTCTTTTTTTAATTTATTCAATAAAGTAACAGTTTTAATTACAAAATCAATTCCTTCGTGCCATTAAACATCTATTGTTTGTCTTGGCACCGCACAGTTTGCTCTTATACATTAATTTACTTAAGCTTATTATTTAAATGACATTGGAATTAACTTTTACTTAAACTAAATATAAAGTACTATGTAACAATTATGCTAAAAAATTTTTTGGCGTAAAAATTTTATATAAAATATATAATGTGTATTTCTTAAACTATTTTTTTTTGTGCAGAATGTAGTTTTTGATATTGTTTACCTGGAATAGTGAAGTAAAAACGTGATTGTTGTCTTCAATTGTTCGTTTATCCGATTCTTTTTCCTTTTACTTCAAAACACCTGGCCGCCGAGCTTCAGCACGTCAAGCAGATTCTGCACGACAACAAGCTTCGGGTCCCACGCCCCCGTCACAGTAACCGAGTGAATCCGGCCACAGTCGAGCGTGTGCCTGCTGTACTACCATATGTCAGAGATGTCACAGACAAGATTGGCTCTCTTGAAGCGAGCTTCTATTACAACATTCTACAAGCCGCCGAAGAAGATTAGTCAGTTCTTACCATCCTTCAAGTATCATATTCCTCTACACGATGCAGGAGCGTACAAGCTTGATTGTGATTGTGGTCTCTCATATATAGGGCAAACAAAGAGATCAATTAGTACCCGCGTAAAAGAACACATAGCTGACGTGAAGCATCAACGTTCCGGGAAGTCTGCAATTTGCGATCATATCCTAGATGGTCCCAACCATTACATCAGATTTGATAGACTACAAATCCTCGCGAAAGAACATTGATTCCTACCAAGGATGATACGTGAGGCTATTGAAAATAAAAAAACATCCTAATTTAAATAGAGAAGGAGGCTGGGTACTGCCACCTGCTTGGGATCCTATAATTAATAAAATAAAACTAAACCCAAGCATACCACTGCAAGACTTCAAAACACAGTTAGTTCATTCTGCGTAGATCGGACCAAAGATATTATATAAAAGCTAATAATTAAAAAGCTGAAGGTACTCCGGGTTAACTTTGACATTGGGACGTCCGTCACCTCAGTCCCCCCGTGACCATGGGGATAAAATAAATAAAACGTGATAAAATCCGTAAAAGTCGTTTTAATCAAGGAAGATGTTTTTGTACACTACTATGGTATAGATAGAAAAATAGTAACCGATATGGAAGTGAAGTTGTTTAATATTACAGACGATAATTTAAGGAGAGGATTGAAAATAGAACTTGGTAAGTTACCCGATAATATATTTATGAAAGATCCCACGCCCTATAGTAATTTATACCAAAAATATAAATGGAAGGAAATCGAAAGAAGCTTACAAGTAAACAATGCAGAAGTAGTTCACGTAATAAATGTAAATACTATCATGAAAACACATAAACATATAAACAACACAACAACCACAATTCAATCAAAAGTTTCGATATTTGAAACAATAGAAAACATAATATCTTCATTTTGGTCCGAAGGTTTGCCCGAAGATGAAATTTTCTTTGATATCGATTATAACTTTAACGGACGAGCAGTATCGTACTGTTACGAGCTTAGGGTTCGTGACAATAAAAATTGCCGATAAAATTACCTAAATTAACACTTTAATTTACTTTACACAAATTAAAACTAAAAACACTAATAATTAAACACACTAATTCACTTAATTCCGCTCCGAAGCTTCGCTTGTGTCGCCGAGTTCAACTCTACCCCGATCGCATTTTGCAGCGCCTATATATTTAAATTAGCAAAGAAATATCCAGAATGTTCAAGTAAACACGCGCAAGGTACCGAGCGTTTGAGTTTCGACTAGGCGCTGTCGGTTGAGTGATTTGTGATGTCATTTTCTCAATGCTCCCCTCGCTCTCGTTCCTGACACTAGATGGCGCTAGTGTATCGTCGACTTGAGCGCGTAACACTGCCCCCTCCTAAGACATGCTCGTCCCGAGCATTATCGGCCCCATAATAACGCGCCAAGCGATCCACATGGACGATCTTAGGAGTCCCTCTTGCGCCTTTCTGTAACGGCTCCGCAATGTCAAGGGCTGTTCTATCCCGTGGTGCACCAACATTGTACAATTTCGGTGCTCCTCTACTACGTGTCTGAGGTCCCCGCACGGCCGCACAACTTGTACATGTACGACACCAATCCTCGACATCGTCACGATAATGGACCCAGTAAAACTGTTCTCGGACCTTCAGTAGAGTTCGTTTAACTCCCAGATGGACTCTTGAACGACCATTATGGCACAGCTGTAGAACATTCGGCACTTTAGCTTTAGGGACAACCATTTGCAAACGACAGCTGCCCCTTCGACCACTGTCCCATTTACGGCACAGGACTCCATCCTGAATCAGCAAGCTTTCCCATTGGGCCCAATAGCTTTTCGTGGTTGAAATCATCGCTGAGACGTCCCTCCACTTAGGCTTGGTAGCACGGGCCTTCATCCATCCCAGAATCGGCTTGATTTCCGGATTTTCCTGCTGTGCATGTCGTAGGCTGTCCTTCCACCCGTTGCTGAGGTGGTCTGTCCTGAGCATCCTCACGGATACCACTTCCTTACTCTCTTGCCTACTACAATGGTTGCAATCTTCAGGACAAGGTCTTCTTGTCAATGCATCTGCGTTGCCGTGAGATTTCCCGCTGCAGTGTCTGATAGTAAAGTCGTATTCCTGCTGCTGCTGGGCGGTGCTATTAGCCGCACTTCCTTTCTGAGACCGTTCACCTTCCCTTCCTAGGGTGTGCTTATGGCAGCTGGACCGAAGATGGCCCCTTTCCCCACAGCCATAGCACCTAGGGCTGTATCTTTTATTGTGGTCGCGAACCGTAACTGCTGTAACCTCCCTAGCGTGAGGTGAACGATGATCCTGTCGCCGCCAGGCAGTGCCGTTAGCTGTACTACCCTCTCGAGATCGATCAACTCTCCTTTCCACGGTTAGTTTAGGGCAGCTGGATCGAAGATGGCCCTTTTCCCCACAGCCATAGCACCTAGGGCTGTATCCTTTGCTGCGGTCACGGACTGTAGCTGCTGCAACCTCCCTGACGCGATGGGAACGATGATCCTGCCGCACGGCTTCCACTTCCAGTGCATGGGCCAAGGCGTCCTTAAGTTTCTCGTGGTGCCCGAGCCTCACAGCAGCTCTGACTTCCAGGTCGCGGATGCCGTCGATGAATGTCTGCACCAGGTTCCCTTCAATGAGCGCAGGTACAGACCGGTATGCTTTTCGCACCAGCTTCTCCACTTCTAGAGCCCGCTGCTGCAGGTTTTCGTTGATGCGCTGCACACGATCTTTAAGCTGCGCACGAAAGACGTGTTCCAGGTGAGCGTCGCCATATCTCGCCTCCAATGCCTCAAGGAGTTGCTCATAAGTCACTTCCTCACCGAGAGCTTCCAGAACTGTTAAGGCCTGGTCACGCAGGCCTAGTGTGAGAGCAGTCATGGCCTGATTTTTATTCCAGCCGTTCGCCTTCATAACAGCCTCGAACTGGATTTTGTAGGCTGACCAGGAAGAAGTCCCGTCGAACGGTGGCACTTTGAACCCACGTAGCGAAGGTGTAGTAGCTACTACGGGAGCTGTAGTTCCCTCCCCAAGTTTGAGTTCGTCAAGTGATTTCCTCATGTCAGCCATTACGTTGTCAACCCGATTGTTCACTTGGTCAATTCGGGTTTCAGCTTCCGACAGGCGGTTTTCATGTTGAGCAACCTTATCCTTCACCTCCCTTATCTCTTTCCCGAAGGTAGCGTGAAGGTCCTTCATGAGAAGCATCTGTTCCTCCTGTCGGCGGGCCTGTTCCTCTTGTCCGCTCTGCAGCTGCTCTTTCAACTGACGGACCTGTTCCGCCTGCTGAAGAACCTGTTCATCCTGTCTACCCCGCAGCTGCTCCTCCAACCGACGGACCTGTTCCTCCTGTCGGCGAGCCTGTTCCGCCTGCTGATCTGCTAACCGACGGGCCTGTTCATCCTGTCCGCTCTGCAGCTGCTGCAGCATCACCATCAGAGCACCTAAGTCAGGTGCTGCAGATGTAGGAGCTACCGACGGGCCTGCAGCCGGTGGCTGGCCCTCCGACGTCTGCGGCGTTACACCACCAAATCTTCGTTGGGCCGTCTCCTGCTGGCGTTGACTTCGGGTACGGACACCCTCCATTTCCTCCTTAGGTAAAATCGGCATGATTTTATCCCACTTCTGACACCAGTTGTTACGAGCTTAGGGTTCGTGACAATAAAATTGCCGATAAAATTACCTAAATTAACACTTTAATTTACTTTACACAAATTAAAACTAAAAACACTAATAATTAAACACACTAATTCACTTAATTCCGCTCCGAAGCTTCGCTTGTGTCGCCGAGTTCAACTCTACCCCGATCGCATCTTGCAGCGCCTATATATTTAAATTAGCAAAGAAATATCCAGAATGTTCAAGTAAACACGCGCAAGGTACCGAGCGTTCGAGTTTCGACTAGGCGCTGTCGGTTGAGTGATTTGTGATGTCATTTTCTCAATGCTCCCCTCGCTCTCGTTCCTGACACTAGATGGCGCTAGTGTATCGTCGACTTGAGTGCGTAACAGTACCATAATCGATGGAGAAAGGATTATTTACAAAACGCATCTCAATCATTTGGCGTTTCAAAGGATGGTTTTATAAATATTTAGTCAGGGCAACGAGTAACGACGAGATTAAAGGGAACCAAAACAATCCTGCTTATCAAAATCAATTACGTTGCGAGTTTAGTTGGTAACTTGGTAGTAAACTATGCTCATGTTTACGGTAAATACCATTTTTGGGTATACCCAAATCTCAATGATATAATGAAAGCAGCCGGCATCATTAATGAAATAATTACAACTGAACTGATAGAAGTGCGATGCTACAACGATCCAGATCTAGAGATATTCGATAGTTTAACAGAAAAACCAATGCGTATAGTCATACCACCAACGCCATTCCATGTAAGACCTAAATCGAGATATTCTAATAAAGTAAAAAAGGCTCACTCAAAATAATCAGGAGAAAACTATTGTAATAAGTTAACAAAAAAAGTTTTGTTAATACAGTGAAACGCACATATTTTTTCCTTTAGACATGTGTCAATCATTCATTTCTATTGACCGAATCATTCTAGTACATTTTTTCACGCGTATCCATTTGAATGATCGATCGTATATTCCGATCGATCATTCAAATGAATCATTTCAGGCTCCAGTACTCTGTGAGTCTGTGAGATCCATTAGGAACCGAAAATTTTCTATTTGAGATTTATAATAGCGCCATCTACTACATGCTATAGGTAATAAAGTCATTTTATCGAACTAAAACTTATTGACCTTCAAGGTGGTAAGTATAATCGACGCTAGATGGCATAAACACAAAAACCTTAAGGGATCAATTGATTTGATTTGACTTTGATTGGTAACTTTATTCAATATATATTATTTTAAATATTTAATAAATTTGTTTGTTTTTAAATTTCAATCCTAACAATACACAATTTCATCTTACATGCCTAAAAATAGGGATTGTAACATTTATTTGCAAGAAAATTAAACTTACCTATTTTATACTTATATAAAGTGGTTGGAAATTATCATATTAAATAAATCTTTTGCCATGAAATCTTTCGAAGTTTTATATTTAGTAAACTCTACGAAATGATATTTTTAACTCATAGAATTAACAAATAAATATAATAAAACTTAAAATAATCTTTAATTTAGGTAACAATATTATAATAAAAAATCCTTAAAGAATAAATACTCCTGATACTCTGCAATCTGCATTGTTTATTCGATTGGTCCGTTTATTCAGATCATTCGGGATTCGGTCGGTTTTTGGCTCATTCACAATTCATACAAATCGCGGGTTAAAAAGGTACCGTCAATTGTTTGTGATTGGTTGTACTGGTACATTCAAAAACAAATGAATGAACCATCAATACTTTTAAGTGTACCAGCTCAAACGATCGAATCATGCGTGATTGACACGTGTCTATTTTTGTTTGGAGAATGGACCCAGCACAAATTTTAAGGATTTTTAATGAAATGAATGTTGATTTGGTCCTTATAATCTATAGATTACAATAGTGTTATTAGTTTTACTGCATCTAAACGGAGTCCTGAGAAATTAACAATTAAATTATGAATCTAACAACATCCTAAAAACAAACTGAAAGCGATTTTCTAGTAGTTTTCACCGGTATTATAAGTTGAAATAGAACACTGTTGAATAGTACATATAAAAGTTGTAGGTATATTCAGCATGTATTACTTTAAGATCGATCGAAATTCTTTTCACTAATTCTGGCAAAATATAGTGCCTTTCTGTGCATAAATGTCGTATGGATTCTACTTTTGACATGTTTTGATTGATTGTGAGTGTAAATTCCAAATACCATTAAAGTATTATGATTAAAGCCAAGATGACTAAGGGATAGTATATCTATTTATATAATTTATAATATTACCAACGCACGGTAAGAAATAAATTTTAAAGTTGGTTGTATTACAAAAAACAAAATATAATGGAACTCTATTTATTACTGTAACTCATAATTTCTAAAGTATTCTATTAATAGTGGTACAGAAAGAGAAACTTTTTATTCAATCTCGATTATAAATAATACTTATTGAAAACCATTTTTTTTAATTTACCACTGGTATGGAAAAACCACTGTCTTGCGGAGAACCAGCAAGAAACTCAGGGTATTTTTTTTTGAATAATACCTTACTCATGTATGTTACAGTTAATAACACATAACAAATTAGAAATAGCTTGGTAGCGATCACCTTACCCAGGGGTATTATCATCCATAAATTCCTTATAATATATATACAAACTTAGTTTAATAAAGTTTTTGAATTTTGATGATCGATTGAGCTGGACAGACAGGAGCAGCGTCAAGACTTTGTTTTAATATGTTTTGGTTGATTACTAAGTATCTCTAAACATCTCATATATCATAATAAAATAACTGGGTAAAAACATGCTTATCTACGTAACCTTCTCAGAAATGAGAGGGAGGCCTGTGCCCAGCTGTGGGACGTATACAGGCTGTAACTTTAAAGAATATTTGAAAATGTTGTGATCATAATAATATATTCTTTTATTATAGAACCAATTACGACTAAAACGCATTTCTAATTTATTTATTTTTTATTCCATTATTTCATATTGCCGGTTTTAAATTATACAAATGTTAAATTTTAAAATAGTGTGTCGTCTTTTCTATAGGAAACTCACTTTTTTTAATTTACCACTGATTCGGAAAAAAAACCTCTATCTTGGGAAGATCCAGCAAGAAACCCAGCGGGATTTTTTTAAATAACAGCTTACAATCATGTATATTACAATTAACACACAATAAATTAGAATCAGCTTGGTAGCGATCACCCTACCCGGGGGTCCACATCTGAAGTGTATAAGAGATGTAGAGAAATGTAGAAGAAACCCAGTATAATAACAGGCCATGAGGTATTCCATCTTAGTTCTCATTGAGGCCAAGTCTTTATTTATGTTGGTTGCAGGTGAACAACTGATTCCTGCAACGTTCCATCAGGTGGTCTGTAAGTTTGTAATTCAATTTTTATAGAAGAATGGTGACAAACGAGCACACGTTCCACCTGTTGGCAAGTGGGTGCTGTAGCCCATAGACATATACATCTGTATCCGATGATGAATCGTAATGCAGATGCATTGTCACTCCTAAGGACTAAGATGGAATGTCATGTTCCCAGTAAAGAAAGAATTAAGATTCACAACCTCTTACAATGCTTACTATCTTACTATAAAGTTAAAGTTACAGCCTACATACGTCCTACGTAGTAATACGTATATAGGATGTAAGAGAAATGAGAGAATTCTACACGTCTTCGAAATATTTTTTTTGTTTCTCAGACATGCAGGTTTCCTCACGATGTTTTCCTTCACCGTGGAGCACGTGGTAAATCAACGCTTAAAATTGCTTGCGAACGTGAAATACTGTGAAAACTTATATATTGTATTTCAGTGTGTCTTACTACACTAAAATACAATAGTATTCGCATTTGTGTTTGCAGAAATAGATAGGTGGAATTTACTCGGGTTCCAAAGCAGTAGAGCTGATGAAGATGATTTCAACGTACCTGATTGGTTCCATCAGGAAGTACGACAAAGTACGTCCCTTTTGCTTTGTCGTCCTGCCGGTTTTCCAAAAGTGTCAAAAATCGCGTGGCCAATGTCACTTCCGCTCTCGTAGTCGCTCACTTTGTAGGAGAACTCGTAGTTCGCTGGTTCCTGTGTATTTTGATTAGTAAGTTTGAGTAATAGAACGTGTAGTAGTGTGTAAGAATATCCAGTACCCCATATCGTCCCGTGGGTGTCGCAAGAGGTGAGACAGAGAAATAAAAAGGCAACAGCATCTTCCCAATAACGACTAGAAAATAAAATAAACTGCGGTTACCATCCTGTCCACCAAGCGTGGCAACTGTGGCAAATATCCCCCCTATCAGGTAACCTATGGAGTGACCCGCCTTCCCCTCCCCCGGGTATGTTCAGCAGTGGTCTTCGATAGTCTTTATTGAATGAATAATTAATGGCATTGATACGTTTAGTAGTATTTATCAATTCCCTTAAGTTGCGTGTTTGTGCAAAATGCAGCGCTAGTCGTTATTTCTGACGTTTTTAGGAGTTATCTACTTCTTATTAAAATGATATATCAACTAATAAAAAACCTATTACATTTCTACACAATCTTGATTCCAGTAAATACTTGATGAATCTTCCTACAACTAAATCACAGAAATGCGAATTAATTATTAATAATAAAAAATTATTATATAAAAATTATTGATTACATATATCTCCTCATAAAGAAAACATTATTACACGTCTCATAAGCGAAGCGTTGAGGTTGTGCTCTACTCTCACCTAATGGTGTTAAGTAGAGTCGCTTACATTAACATAACATAAACACTCACGCCTGTCACCCAGAGGGGTAGGCAGAGACTACAGACTTCCATTTAGCACGATCCTGACATACCTTTCTCGCCTCTTCCACATCCATATACCTACGCATACATGCTCGTCGGTTAAGGGTACTCTTAATTTGGCCCATTTTTAGTATATCGCCAATTTGGTCGACAAACTTCCGCCTAGGACGTCCCTTTCCGACTCTTCCATTCACTTCTGCAACATATATTTGCTTTGTCAGTCTTTCCGCATCCATTCTTTCTACATGACCAAACCACCGAATCATTCCTTTCTTAATCCTGATCACGGCATCATCTTGCAAACCACACTTTTCTTTTATCACACAATTTCTCACCCTGTCACTCAGATTCAGCCCTAACATACTCCTTAGCGACCGCATTTCTACTGCATTTATTCTACTCTCGTGCTTCTTCTGCCACACCCAACTTTCACTACCATACGTTAAAGTAGGGACTAATACAGCACTGTGATATTGCCATACGTGCCTTTTTTGACACATTCTGACTTTTCACAATAGAGTGTAGAGCCCCATTTACTTTATTTCCTGCATTCACTCGTCGTTCAATGTCCTTATCATATCTCCCATCCCTGCTGAATACACATCCCAAATATACGAACTCATCCACTTGCTCAATTAACTCTCCTTCTATTCTTATTTCACATACCGTTTTGCTTTCATCTCTTTCAAAAACCATCACTTTCGTCTTACTTGCGTTCACTTTCATTCCCCTTTCTTTTAATGACCTGTTCATTAATGTAACCATCATTTGCAACTCGGCCGCCGACGACGCAAGTATGACTTGATCATCGGCGTACAAAAGGCATTTGATGGTTAACTCACCCATTCTTAACCCGCATTCTTCAACTTTCAAATTTTCCAAACAGCTGTCCATAAATAGGTTGAACAGCCACGGGGAAGCTACACAGCCTTGTCTGACACCTTTATGGATGCCAAACCAGTCCGAGTAGACCCCGTTGATTCTAACACAAGCACTCGAGTCCCTATACAGAGACTTTAATGCCTGTATCAAACCAGCGCTCAACCTAAATGCGTTCAGCGTTTGCCATAACACTCGTCCACTCTGTCATAAGCCTTTTCCAAGTCCATGAACGCACAAAAAACTTTTTGGTTTTTCGCCAAAAACTTCTCCGCGATCACGCGCATGGAAAAGACTTGATCTGTACACCCCATTCCCTTTCTAAATCCCGCTTGCACATCCCAAATTTTTTCATCAGTTTCTTTCATAACTCTTTCAATTAGTATCTTAGCATACAGTTTTCCCACAATGCTAAGAAGGCTGATACCACGGTAGTTTTTACAGTCCTGCTGTGACCCTTTTCCCTTATATATTGGGACTATCACGGCTTTGCACCAGTCTCCCGGTACCCGCTTTAGTTCCCAACATAAATTAGGTGTACAACTTCCACACGTCCTCTCCAGCCCTTAGCATTTCGAGGGAAACTCTATCATATCCGGCTGCCTTACCTACTTTCGTGCTTTTCATTGCTTTCATTATTTCATCTATACTTATCTCCCTATCTCTTTCATCTTCTTTCGGAATTTCTATTTCATTTAGTTCACACTTCTCCTCACTCATAAATTCGCTTTCAAAATATTCCTTCCATCTCTTTAGACTCAACACTTCATCATTCAGGATACAGCCATTCCCGTCTCGTATCGCATTCAATCTAGGCTGTTTTGAAAGTCCCCTGGTATTTCTTACGAGTTACCAGAACATTTTAATATTTGCCTGGAAGTTATCCGATATTCTTCTATCATTCCTATCCGTTCTTTCTTGCTTTTTCCTTTCAACTAATTCTTTTACCCTCTTATTTAAACGTTTAAACTCTGCCTTTTTTCTTTCATTCTCATCATTCTTACCGCCAGAGTTACCAGCTTTGGTCGCTAGTAAATCTAGCCATGCTCTCTTCTTTGCTTCAACTTCCATACGTACCTCATCATCCCACCATAACGTATTGTCTTTCCTTTCATTCGTTCTCTTACTAACACCACATACTTCGGTAGCTGCATCCACTAAACCTTTCTTAACATTATGCCACACATTCTCCAAGTCTAACTCATTCACACACAACTCATCCAAATTACTTATATTTTCTCTCAGTCTGCATTTGTACTTGTCTTTCACATCTTCATCTTGTAACCTCTCAATCCTTATACGCTGTAACGCAGTGGTAGACACAGATGTCCTATGCCGCCAACGTCTGAATAAACCCCTAATTCGGCATAAGACCAGGTAGTGGTCCGTCCTTACGTTGGACCCCCGGTAAACCCTTGTATCCACCACTGCTCTGCTCATTCTTTCATCCACAGTTATGAAATCTATCATGCTTCTATCATCACCTCCTTCCCAAGTATACATGTGAATCTTCTTATGACGAAAGAAAGTGTTCGTCACAAAAAGATTCCTTTCCACACATACGGAGAGGAGGCTTTCACCATTCTCATTTATACTTTCATCACCAAACGTTCCCAATATCCTTTCATAACCAAGCCTCCTCACCCCAACCCTTCCATTAAAATCTCCTAGCATAATAATATTTTCATTTCCCTAACACTTCATTAACACCATCCTTACCATTTCCCAAAACTGCTCCCGGATATAAGTGGGCTTAGACATGTCTGGGGCGTAGACCCCTAACACAAACAACTTCTTTAAGCCCACTTTCATTCGTATCCATAGCAGTCTTGGGCTTACACATTCATACTCTTTCACACATTGGCCCATTCGTTCTGAAAGGATGATACCTACTCCCTGGCATGCCCGCTCGATCTCGTCTACACCAGACCAGTATGCGGTATACATGCCATGTGCAATGACATCCTTCCCCTTCCTTTTCGTCTCATTTACACATAATACATCTATTCCTCTATCATACATCATATCGCATACTTCATCCATTTTATCATTCATTGCCCCACATACATTCAACGTAGCCAGACGGGCCTCTGCAATCCACTTTTCGCCTCTCTGGGAGACAGAACGTGACGGGTGGCGAACCTCGTCGCCGGTTTTCCTCCCGGAGATTCTTCGCACCGCACGATGCAGAGTCGCTTAATACGTAAGTAACATCATTATTTTTTTATTAACTGCATAAAATATCATAAATCTAAACAAGGTTATAGATATTGATAATAATACGAGTAACAATGTACATTTTACACACACAAATAACAAGGACTAACTCACAATTTATCTTCCGTGTACGTATTCTCTACTCAACACTTTTAGTAAGACTGCCGCTCGTAGCTGCCGCTCAAACCGACGACATCTGTCTTTTATAGGCTTGTAATTTAACAGTGCTAAACTACAGATGGCGTTGTTTGTGTGGTTTCCGTTACAAGGACTATTCTTGCGAATAAGCCTGATATTGTGCTGATGGACCGGGCACAGTCAAGGATATTTTTGGTCGATATTACCATCCCGTATGACGAGAACCTCGTGAAAGCCGAAACAGATAAGCAATCAAAATATCTGGACCTGGCTCACGAGGTGACCGACATGTGGGGTGGTCTGCCGACCGAAATTATTCCTGTAGTCGTCTCTGCGAATAGGCTAATCCCAGTTAACCTCTCTGGTCATCTGAGGCGACTGGGACTCTGTGACGGACCGCTCCGGGCTCAAATGCAGAAGGCGGTGCTCCTTGATACTGCCCGCATCGTCCGCCGGTTTCTTTCCCTTTCCCCCTAACCCTCGGCCGTTTGGTCTCCCCTGCCGAGGGCTTCCATCTGGTTGGGCTTTTATTTATTTATGTATTTATTTTATTGATATTTATGTATATATTTATCTTTTCATTTTCATTTATAATTATATATTTATAGATCCCAACCAGATGAGAAAACTATATAGATACCCCACAATAATTTATTTATTTTCTCACCACAAACGACATGGAAGATACATTAGTGTAACATCTCTATTTTAACAATATTATGTCATTCATGGGAGACTGGTGCCCGTGTAGGTTCAAAGAACCGTATTACCGGTCACCAGCCCCCCCCCCCACCCCAAATTTACTTGGCAATAAGTATAATATTATAAAGAGATCACTTATGTTATGGGTAGAAATAATATTACATAGAGCGATTTATAAGTTTGGATACATAGAAATAAAAAAAAAAAATAACAACCACGTATTTTTGTAGCGTAAGTATGAGAGTTTGTGACTATTAGCATGTCTGCGTGTATGTCTGTGAATATTTATGAGATAATTTGGAGTATTTGCTCAGTATCTGTGTATGAAAGAGTCTGAAGATATTCCACGAGTCTATTTTTACATGACCATCTGTTGACTTCATATATAGACAATTTTTGGTGTAATTTATTATATAAATACGGACCCAAAAAAGTAAAGAATTTCCTACCAAAATATGTGAAGAAAGGCACTGACTGAGCTACCAGATGATTACGGTGTCAATGTTCCTTTTTAGTTATTTTTGAAATTGTATGTTGTCTTAAAACTATATATAACACAAATAGTTGACGAACTGTAAGAACTTCGCTAATTCTATACAAATCTAAAGTTGGATATAAGTAGGGTTTAAAATGGATAACTTTTAAAAGTGATCTTTGCGCACGCTCTAGTTCAATAATATGTGTTTTGGCTGCACCACCCAAGACTTCAATTCCGTATGTTAATAAAGATTGACACAAGGCATAATAGGTCAATTTTAGGACTTCTCTATTAGCAATATGTCTTCATTTTTTAAATATAAAAATCAATTTACGCACTCTACCACATAGTGTATTAATAAGAGAACGGAATATTAAGGTGTTGTCAAATAATATTCCAAGATACTTGATACTATTAGTTCTCTCTAAAACGGGACAGGAACCATCTAAAGTGTTAGGATTACCACAACAGTGAGCAATGATTTTATGCGCGTCTCCAGGTAAGGATGAGGTACGGATTGCAAAAGGCATATATTTAGTTTTCTTACAACTTAGAGTTAGTAAGTTCTTCCTAAGCCAAGCACATACCATATCAAACGCAACCTGAGATTGCCGGAAAACATCCTCCCAGGTGCTTCCAGAGAAAAGAAGGGCTGTGTCATCAGCAAATGTAATTATCTTGCCATTGTGAAGATTAAGGTTACACAAGTTATTAATAAAAATGAGGAATAGGGTCGGACCAAGTATACTGCCCTGAGGAACACCAAAAAAGACAGGAGAATCAGAGCTGATGACACTATTAGACAACTTGACACACGGACATCGACCACTGAGATAGCTAGAAAATAATGTAAGTTGACGGCCTCGCACGCCAATATCCTCAAGCTTTTGAAGCAACAGTGGAATTGAGACGGAGTCAAAAGCTTTCTCTAGATCGAGAAAGATGGTTAAACTCTTTCTACCCCTATCTAAGTTTTGTGTAATGTAGTTTGGTGGAGCCACGTGTCTAAGGTCGCCGAAGTCTAGTTCCCCAGTCGAACCTTAAACCTATTACGCGAGATATTAATCTAAGTGGACTGTATAACGAGGCGTTGTTGTACTTACAGGTATTATTAGCCTGGCCAGGTATATTAGCCTGACTCCAATAAAACAGACACTCTAATAGTTTATTCCTGCACACAAGTTTATTTTGTTTATTTACACAACACTTACAATTTGATATTACTTACTATCTCTATTATTATATACTATTTATTACTTTTAATCACTATATTTCGCGGAGTAAATAGGGTGAGCGTGGCACGAGCTCCCGCAGCGAATGCATATGTTTACTACTCTAACTTGACCGGTAAAGCAGGGACAAGTACTTCGTTACAAAAAAATATTGTTATCAGCAAATTGGTCGATTCATGCGGAAAAGTTAGTAAGTAGGATTTCTTAAGTGATTAATTAATTTTAAATTAAGTTGTTGAATTTATACAAAAAAAATATTTATTATAATTTTGATTTTATATATGTGATTTTATAGATGAAATTAATTTACTTTATATTATACTGTATTAACATTAAAAATTTATTTAATACACATCACCTGTGCCACATCACTCCCCTGCCGAGACCGTTTCACGGGCGATAGTAGTCTGGAAATCGCACTACTCTTCCGCTTAGTGTTTTCTTTAGAGTATTCTCCCTTTGACCAGTTGTGGGAGCTTGGGTTTCCTTTTCTGTAGGTGTTATTTCCTCTGGACAAAGAGATGATCCACTGCTGTAAAGGTATGCAGGCTTGAGTCGGTCTATAGTAACCGTATTTTCCATACCTTTGATCATCAATTTGAAGGTCTTAAGACCCCTTTCCAGGACTTTATATGGTCCTGAATAAGGAGATTCCAATGATGGTGTAGCTGGACCCTGACGTAAGAAAACGTATTCAGCCGTTTGAAGATCTTTAGGGATGTAGAAGGTTTTAGTTCCGTGCCATGTAGCTGGGCGAGGTGTTAAATTAGCCATGTGACGTCGAAGGCGAGATGCGAAATCCTTGATGTCGGCGGTGAAGTCTGGAGAGGGAACGAAGAATTCTCCTGGTAACCGTAAAGGTTCTCCGTATACCAATTCTGCAGCTGATGTTTTGAGGTCCTCTTTCCAGGCGCTTCTTATACCTAGAAGCACAAGTGGAAGGATTTCTGTCCACTGCGGGTTATTGTGGCACCTGATTGCAGTTTTTAGCTGACGATGTAGTCTTTCAACCATACCGTTGCTTTGTGGGTGGTATGAAGTAGTTGTAGACAACCTGGCACCGATGAGAGTTGCGACGGCCTGGAATAATTTGGAGTCGAACTGCCGTCCCCGGTCTGTGGTGATCTTCTGTGGGCATCCGAAACGGGCTACCCAACCGCTGATTAAGGTTTTGGCGCATGTTTCTGTTGTGATTTCTTCTAATGGGTAGGCCTCAGGCCATCGCGTATATCTGTCGATGACGGTGTGGCAGTACCTGTAATGAGAAGAAAGCGGTAATGGCCCTACTATATCCATGTGGATATGAGAGAAACGTTGTGATGGAGTAGGGAAAGTGGAGTAAGGTGAAGAGGTATGGCGGTTGATTTTGTTGCGTTGGCAATCTGTGCACTGCTTCGTCCATTCTTTACAGTCTCGACGCACACCGGGCCACACGAATCTTTCGGAGATGAGCTTTGCTGTGGCTGAAGCTCCGGGATGACTGAGATTGTGCATTTGGGAGAAAACTTGTCTTCTGAATCTTGGAGTAATATATGGCCTCGGAGTGTGTGTTGAGATATCACAATATATCGTAGCTTCGGGTGACTTAACCTTTTCTAATCGAAGTGCTGTTCCCTTATTGATTAAATCCTGCAGTTCAGGGTCTGAGTTCTGATCGTTTGCAAGATCTTCGTAGTTAAGGGTTTCAGAGATAGTCTCAACACGTGACAACGCATCAGCAACAGTCTTATCACAGCCTGACACATGTTTGATATCCGTGGTAAATTGAGATATGAAGCTTAAGTATCGGTGTTGCCGTGGAGAACAATTGTCTCTTTTTGTGACAAACGCAAAGGTAATTGGTTTTGTGGTCGGTGTACACCGTAAAATGCCTGGCTTCGACCATAAAACGAAAGTGTTTGATAGCTTCGTATATTGCCAATAATTCTCTGTCATATGGACTGTATTTGTTCTGTGCTGACGTAAGTTTTCTGGAGAAAAACGCTAGGGGTTCCCAGCAGTTTCTCACTTTTTGCTGTAGAACGGCTCCTATGGCTTTATCAGATGCGTCAGTGTATAGTGATAATTCTGCGTGAGGATTTGGATGTGCTAACATGGTGGCATCAGACAGCGAGGACTTACAATCTTCGAATGCCTTCAGCATCTCGGGGCTCATGACTACCGGTTTGGATCCTTTAATATTTTTGCCACATAATGCATCAAGAAGTGGAGCTTGTGTACTTGCTGCATCCTTCAAACACCTACGGTGATAATTCAGCATACCGAGGAATCTTCGGAGTTCTCTAGCTGTTTTTGGTAAAGGGAAGTCTTTGATCGCTGCCACTTTCGTCTCCATTGGACGAGTTCCTTGCGCTGAAATGTGGTAACCCAAAAAGTCTACTTCCTTGACACCTAATATACTTTTAGAAGTATTTATGAGTACTCCGTATTTTTCAAGTCGTCGAAAAAGTGTCTTAAGGTGTTCCATATGCTCTTCTTCGGTATGTGAAAATATCAATATGTCGTCAAGATATCCAAATGTGAAATCTAGTCCTTGGAGTACCTCATCTATGAATCTTTGAAACGTCTGGGCTGCATTCCGGAGGCCAAACATCATGAATGGGAACTCGAACAACCCAAACGGAGTCGTGATCGCTGTCTTTTCGATATCACTCTCAACTACAGGGATCTGGTTGTAAGCCTTCACTAAATCTAATTTGCTGTATTTATTACAACCAGCAAGCTGATGAGCAAAGTCTTGTATGTTTCTGAGTGGATAGCGATCCGGGACGGTTCGTGCATTTAAAGCTCGATAATCACCACACGGCCTCCAGCCATCGTCTTTTTTGCGTACTAGGTGTAGTGCTGAGGACCAAGAGCTTTCCGAGCGTCGTGCTGTGCCGTTCTTCAACATTTCCTCAAATTCCTTTTTAGCTATGAGGAGTCTATCAGGAGCTAAACGACGAGGTCGTGCTGCTACTGGAGGTCCTGGAGTAACGCGAATGTGATGCTTGGTATTATGTTTGGGTTCTGACGTCATGCCAGCCGGTTTCCTTATGGTAGGATATTGGCGAAGTAATTCATGATACTTCGAACTACCATTAACAGTTTTGATGGCTTCTATCTGGTCGTTTTTGTGGTGAGGCACTGTTATTGATAGACTTGTGAGGCCGTCGATAAGTCTATGATGACGGCAGTCGACTAATAAATCGTAATAACTTAGAAAGTCAACTCCGATTATGGGTTTGGAGACATCTGCCACGATAAATTTCCAAACAAAGTCCCGACGAAGTCCAAGTGAAGTTGAAGGTAGCCGTAAGTGGAAATGACGCTACCATTTGCTGCGAAAAGTTCGTATTTGCACTTTTTTACTGGACCCTTCATCATGGTCCGTGGAAAAACACATAAGTCAGAACCTGTGTCGATGAGGTAATTAATTTTACTTTTTCTATCTGTGATGAATAGACGGCCGTTACAAGTCTGGCAGTCATTCGCCGCCACTAATGGCTGCCCTGGTCTTTTCCCGACTTAAAATTACAAGGTGTTGTGCATTTCGTTGAATTAACACCGAACTTTCTGTGGTACCAACATATATCGTTGTCTGAGCGTGACCGAGATCGTGAACGGAACCTAAATCGCCTGTTGCGTGACGAGGATCTGGGTCGCCTATTCATCTGTATTGTTAATGCAGAAACTTGTTTTGTCAGCTCCGCGATCTGAATGGCCATTGCTTCCATAGCAGCGTACGGTGTAGGAATTTGTTGCGGTGGACAGGAAGATGTCGATGGAGAAACCTCGTTTAAGTGTCCTCGAGGCAAGATGTCATTTATTTTGTCAGCTAATTCAGACAATTTATCTAATGGCATCTCTGCATTTGATGCGACAATGGCCTGCATATTTTGAGGTAGTATACTCGACCAAATTGTGCGTATAAAATTTTCGGGAACACTAGGACCTGCTAGATGTTTAAGATGACGCAAAAATTGTGACGGTTTGCGACTTCCAAGCTCTTCATGCATTAACAGCTGTTTTACCTTCTGTTCTTGGGAGGCGGAAAGTCGACGAATCAATTCAGACTTAAGAGTATCATATTTGTTTTCTCTAGGCGGATTGATAATGACATCCTCGACTTCAGCTGCGTATTCGTGATCGAGTTGGGATACAATATAATAAAATTTTGTGGTGTCACTTGTTATATTTGATAAAATAAATTGTCCCTCTATTTGAGCGAACCACAGTGCTGGTCTGTCAGGCCAAAACGGGGGTGGTCGAACACCTACTCTAAATGTATTTGATTTCATTTCTCCGCTGGTGGTGTCATCTAAATTTTCACTTTCGACGTTCTGCATCAGAGGCGTCGTTAAATTTTTATTCGCCATGGTTTGGGTAGGGCTTATTTTTGTTCAATGTCGGAAGGTCACCAGTATAACGAGGCGTTGTTGTACTTACAGGTATTATTAGCCTGGCCAGGTATATTAGCCTGACTCCAATAAAACAGACACTCTAATAGTTTATTCCTGCACACAAGTTTATTTTGTTTATTTACACAACACTTACAATTTGATATTACTTACTATCTCTATTATTATATACTATTTATTACTTTTAATCACTATATTTCGCGGAGTAAACAGGGTGAGCGTGGCACGAGCTCCCGCAGCGAATGCATATGTTTACTACTCTAACTTGACCGGTAAAGCAGGGACAAGTACTTCGTTACAAAAAAATATTGTTATCAGCAAATTGGTCGATTCATGCGGAAAAGTTAGTAAGTAGGATTTCTTAAGTGATTAATTAATTTTAAATTAAGTTGTTGAATTTATACAAAAAAATATTTATTATAATTTTGATTTTATATATGTGATTTTATAGATGAAATTAATTTACTTTATATTATACTGTATTAACATTAAAAATTTATTTAATACACATCACCTGTGCCACAGACTGTATCTACTAAATGCTTCTACGCTTATATAACGACGACTATAGCGCGCGGTACAATGCACTCGCTCTTCCCTAAAATGAACTATTATTTGCCAAATCGATGAAAGGAATCCTGCTTGATTAGGAAAACACAAAATTGGAGCGGGTTAAAACAATTATATCAAGCAGGCTATAATATTGGATATTGACTCACCGGGATGTTTCTTCTATGTGGTCGAGCACTATAACTGCGACTTCTGGAACTTCTTCTGGAACACTCCGGAGAGAGGCGGTGCGCGACCATATCTCACACGAGGTGAGGCGGGTTCCCTGGAGCTCGATTGCTTCCAGGCTAAAGCGGTTTCTACTAGTGATGTGGTTCCAATGACGAGCGCGGCGGGAAGAGCTCTTTAGGACACTATTATCCAAGGCGGTGTAGTTCTAACGATGAGCGCGGCGGGAAGAGGCTGCGCGTCGGTGTCTTATATATCCTCGGTTCCGATGATTACGTGACATTCTAGAATCATCTTCTTTCCCTCCCACCCCACCACCCCGATGTGTCGATAGAGGGTATGAATGATATCGTTTTTGGAATGGGATAACCGATTTGGCAGCCTACCGTCAAATTAAATAAATACGAATGGTTTTCCGCGCAACCATAGTTGGTAACCGAAAGTAAAGCATCTGATGTTGATTTTTTTGCACGAAAACCGAACTGGACATTTGATTATAAATTCTTTTTCTCAAGGTAGTTCACTAGTCCAGAATTTATGATTTTTTCAAAAACCTTAGAGATTGACGGCAGTATTGATATAGGACGATAGTTATTAGGTAGACTTTGATCGCCATTTTTGTAAATTGGATGAACCACAGCTTTTTTCAGCACCCTTGGAAAAACATCTGCCGTCAAACACAAGTTGAGAATAAATGTCAGAGGAGGCACTAGGATGTCTTTGTACTTTTTCAGAAGACCAGTGGAGATACCATCCTATCAAATAGCTTTATCTGATTTTAAAGCAATAATAATCCGTTCAACTTCTTTTTCGTCTGTATTTGAAAGAACGAAAGAGTTTTCTATTAAATTAGGACTTGAAACCGCAGAAGTAGCATGGGTTGAGATAGCTGTCGTCTGTTCAAATTTTTCAGCAAGGATTTTGCCAGCATTGATAAAGAAGGAGTTAACTCTATCGGCCGATTCACATGGGAATGGACACAATTGTAATAATTCGTGGCCTGGTGTTGTTCTTGGGCTAGTATTGGTAAATTGGTTTATTGTCTCCCAAATACGTTTTGAGTCCTTTCCAGCCTCAGCAAATTTATTTATTTCACAATAGCGTTTAACACTTTTGAGCAAAGAATTGCAATAATTTCTGTAGCGCTTATAGGTTACTTTGAGAACCACGTTATCGGGTGATTTATTAAACTTTTTGTGTAAGTTGTCCCTATTTCTGAGACACTTTAGGAGTCCTGGAGTCATCCACAGCTTAAGCATTCTACGCCTGCGGGATGGGATATAAGTTATAGTCGCGTAGGAGATGGAGTTACGTATAGCATTCATAAAATATTCCATCGCAGAATCGGGGTCATCTAAATTTAACAAGCTCTCAAAATCTACACTTAAGAGACTTTGACTCAACTTGTCTTCGTTTATCTTGTGAACACACTTAGGTGGAATGTACTGTACTTTCTTTGAAAGAGAGAGTATCACCGCAAAGTGATCAGTCACAGTGGCTTCAACAACAATAGTAAAAGCTGGGTAAGTGGTTTTGAGCAGAACATGGTCAAGGCACGTACAATTGTGCGTAGGTATTAAGTGGGAGGGAAGAAGACCATGTTCAGCAGTCAAATTTAGATATGCAGGAGAGTTAACATCAGTATTATTGGGAGATATATCAATGTTAATATCTCCCACCAAAATCACGTTTTGAAATGAGCTTAGACTACTAAGTAAAGTATCCAACGATTGAAACAATGAGTCAGTTTGTTTACGCAAGGCATCAGGTCGATAAATTGCTAATACGGCGGTATCTCTACCTATTTTAATTAAGAGAGAGCTTGAATCTAAGAGCTGCGGTTCCTCCACCGAAAACTTCTCTATGTTATTTTTTGTAAAAACTATCAAACCATCATCTTGGTTATATGGATTCGTAGATGCCACATACTTATATACCTGCAAAGAACACAATAATTGTACCGTAACCAACATTCGGTAAGGACTATTATGTCAAACTCGATATTAGTTCTTGTCAGTAACAATATAAAACCGTCAATGTTAGCATTTACACTGCGAATATTTTGGCAAATTAATTTAAGTGACTTAGAGCTGAACTTTGCTAGTAATCGCATACCATTTTCTGGTGAGCTTAAGACAGCCTCAGAAGGAGAAATTCTGTCCAATTCATAACTAATATCAGATTGAGAATTGAATTTTAGTATATAAAAAACTAGTGTTCAAATAACTAACATATAACAAAAATAATAATATATAATTTATATATACATATATACACATATATACATATATATACATACATACACATATATACACATACATACACATAC